CCTTTCATGCCTGTAAGGTCTCTTTTGAGAAATACGCTGACAGTCTGATGGGAACTCCTTTGCAGGTGACTGTCCCCTTATTTCTTGCTGCTTCTAGGATTCTCTCCTTCATTTTAATCTTGGCTGATGTACTTATGATGTGCCTTGGTGTGTACCTCCTTGGGTCCAACTTCTTTGGGACTCTCTGAGCTTCCTGGAAGTCTATATCCTTAGCCAGATTGGGGAAGTTCTCCTTTATTATTTGTTCAAATAAAGTTTCCACTAGTTGCTCTTTCTCTTCCCCTTCTGGTACCCCTATGATTTTGGTGTTGGAACGTTTAAAGATGTCCTGGAGGTTCATAAGCCTCTCCTCATTTTTTTGAATTCTTGTTTCTTCATTCTGTTCTGGTTCAATATTTCTTTCTTCCTTCTGGTCCACTCCATTGATTTGAGTCCCAGTTTCCTTCCCATCACTATTGGTTCCTTGTGCATTTTTATTTATTTCCCTTAGCATAGCCTTCATTTTTTCATCTAATTTGCGACCAAATTCAACCAATTCTGTGAGCATCCTGATTACCAGTGTTTCGAACTGTGCATCTGATAGGTTGGCTATCTCTTCGTCACTTAGTTGTACTTTTTCTGGAACTTTGATCTGTTCTTTCATTTGAGCCATTTTTTTTTGTCTTGACATTCCTGTTACATATGAGGGGCGGAGCCTTAGGTATTCACCAGGATGGGGCAACCCAGTTGCTGGGTGGTGACTCTGTATATGGGGGTGGGGTCAGAGAGGGACCAATGGCACTTGCTCCACTCTCTGCTGTATTTCAGTCACTTCCCCCACTTGCCCCAAGTAAATTGAACCATTCTGGTGCAGATTTCCATGTTGGTGGTCTTGTGTACATTCTAGGACCCTGCGGGTCTCTCCAACAAACTCTCCTGTGAGGCTGGGAGGCTCCTCAACCCCCACAGGTGTTTTCAACTGGTGTTTTGAGGCTTTATTTCCTGGCGCTTGGACCCTGGGTTGTGCAGTATGTCTTGTTCCCCAGTGTCACCTGGTTTATCTGCATGTGAATGTGGGTCTGCCTGTCTACCAAGCACCTTGTGCACTGTGTTTCTTCACAATCCGCTGCTGCTGCCTTGCATGCCCAGAATCCGCCAGCTGCCATTTTGCCATGACCCCTCTCTGTTCAGCTGCCCAACTCCAGCCCGCCTACTGGTCTGGATGGATGGTTCTTCTTTAATTCCTTGGTCGTCAGAGTTCCATACAGTTCGATTTTCTGTCAGTACTGGTTGTTTTTTTATTTCTAAATTGTTGTTGTCCTTTTGGTTGTATGAGGAGGCACAGTGTGTCTACCTATGCCTCCATCTTGGCTGGAAGTCTCAGCATGGCCACAATAGAAGAGTTTTAAGTGAGTGAATAAATGTTAAATTACATTGGAAAACTTTTTTAATTTAATTTTCTTTTTTTGGTTTCTCTCTTGCTTCTAATATTGCTTGGCCTTAAGAATTTTAAACAAGCCCTGGCTGGTGTAGCTCAGTGGATTGAGCGTGGGCCTGGGAACGAAAGGACCACAGTTCGATTCCCAGTCAGAGCACATGCCTGGGTTGCAGGCCAGTTCCCAGCAGAGGACGCATGAGAGGCAACCATACATTGATATTTCTCTCCCTCTCTCCTTCCCTTTCCCTCTAAATATAAATAAATAAAATCTTTAAAAAAAAAGAATTTTAAACAAGCTCAGGGCAGCCTTGTCTATGTCAGTTCTTCCCTACATCTACACCACATGAATTGCCTTCAAACATTGTATGGATAATAATCTGGTCTCGTATATATTTTTTAACTTATACTTTATTGTTTATGCTATTATAGTCATCCTAGGTTTTCCTCATTTGGCCTCCTCTACCCAGCCCTGCCCACTCCCTCAGGCAATCCTCAAACTGTTGTCCAAGTCCATGGGTTCTTGGGCTATTCTATTCCCCAAGCTATACTTTACATCCCCATGACTATTTTGTATCTACCAATTTGTACTTCTTAATCACTTCACCTTTTTTGCTCATTCCTTGACCTGCCTCCCATCTGGCAATCATCAAAACATTTTCTGTATCTGATTCTGCTTCTTTATTTTATTTTTTAGAATCAATTGTTGATAGATACATCTTTATTGCATTTTATTTTTTTAATTTTTTAAAGATTATATTTATTTTCAGAGAGAGAGGAAGGGAGAAAGACAGGAAGAGAAACATGAATGGGCAAGAGAAACTGCAATTGGTGCAAAGCCCATCACTAACTCTGCATGATGTTGCAGAAGTGAAGGGAACCAGGTTTGCTAAAGTAATTGTGGTGATAGAAATGTATTGGCCTCAGAAGCTACTGAAGTGGTCCATTCTATCCTAGTACAGTGTAAAAAAAATAAATAATTTTAAAAAATTTTAAAAAGGAGAGAAACTGCTATTGGGGGCTCTCACATGCCCCCAACCAGGGACCTGGCCCACAACCCAGGCAGTGCCCTGACTGGGACTCCAACCAGTAACCTTTCAGTTCATAGGCTGGTGCTCAATCCACTGAGCCACACCAGCCAGGACGTATTTATTACCATTTTATTGTTTATATTTTTTATCTTCTTTTTAGAAAAGCTTCTTTAACATTTCACATAATACCGGTTTGGTGGTGATGAAATCCTTTAGCATTTTCTTGTCTGTGAAGCTCTTTTTCTGTCTTGGATTCTAAAGATAGCTTTGTTGGATAGAGTAATCTTGGTTGTAGGTCCTTGTTTTTCATGACTTGAATATTTCTTGCCAATGCCTTCTAGCTTTCAAGTTTGAGAAATCAGTTTACACTTTAAGTTGTCCCCGAGGCGCCTTACACTAGCCTCATTTTTTTGGATTCTTTTTTCTTCGTGCTGTTCTGATTGTTTTATATTTCCTTATATTCTAAATCTCTGATCTGATTCTGAGCTTCGTCCACTGTACTGTTGGTTAAAAAAAAATTATTTCAATTAGTGTACCCTTTGTTTCTAATTGATTTTTTTTTTAATGCTGTTGAGATTCTAAGTTCCTTGAACATCCTTGTAACCAATGTTTTGAGCTCTGCATCTAGATTGCTTTTCGTTATTTCTTTTTCTGGAGTTTTGTTCTGTTCTCTCATTTGGGCGATGTTCCTTTCTTATTTTGGCAGCCTCCCTGTTTTTGTTTCCATGTACTAGGTAGAGCTGCTACATCTCCCAGGCTTGGTAGAGTGGCCTAATGTAGGTGTTCTATAGGGTCCAGTGGCACAGCCTCCCCTATTACCCAAGCCAGGGACTCAAGGTATGCCCACCATGTGGCCTGTGTACACCCTCCTGTGGTAGTGTAGCCTTGATAGTTATTGACTTGTCCAAGGTCACCCAACTGTGTTCTGTCCAGGATCACACAGCATAAGCTGATCTGCACATGACTGGTACTTGTGCTGGGCTTGGAGGTGCCCAAGTAAGGTCAGTCTGTGAACCAAGGCCAGGTGCTGCTAGTGCCAGGCCTGGGGTAACTTAGCAAGAGGTATGGGGCTCAGTGAAGCCACATGCTGTATGTTTGAGACTAAACTTAGAGGAGAATCTGAAGCACAGACCAAAACAAGCCATTTGTACTGAAAAGCCACCAGAAACAGCTTGGGTGGGCCCAAAAGTTGGGTGTGCAGGGCCTTAGTAAATCACCAGGGTGAGGCAAACAGGTAGGACAGGTTGAAGAAGTCTCAGATATGGCAACCACCTGCCAGCTTTGTGATTCAATGAGCGGAGGGCTCAGAAATGGAATGGCCTCTGCCAGCACTTCTGTCTGGGAGAAAGCTGCCACCCAGCTATTGCCCAGATTCTGAACATTGCTGTTCCTCTCCACGTCTCTCGTGCCTTTTAAGCTGCTGCCCCCATGCTGGAGCTCAGAGGGAATGAGTCCAACCGTCTGTGTGTGGGCCCTCTGAGAGGAACCAGCTGAGACTCCAGCAGTTTCTGTGTTCCACAGCCTCAATCCTTTGTTTTTACAGCCAGAGACTGACTTTCCCCCCAACACTGGAATCCTGGGTTGGGACTCCTTGCTCTTGAGATTATCCTTCTGATTTTTATCTGCCACACATGGGTGTGGGACCAGCCTGTTTCGTGGCTCTCTCTGGCTCTCCTACCAGGTTTCAATCCTATACTTGTAGGACTTCCATTCAGCTCAATTTCTGATGGTTCTGAACAAAGGTTCTATAGTTGTAAATTTGATGTGGTTGTGCAAGGTGGTGAGCCATGTATACCTATACCACCATCTAGACTGAAAGCTTGTCTTCTATTTTACCTGTACACAATTTTCTGAAATTCTGTTCAAATAATCAATTCCCCAAAATATTATTTTAAATTTCCATACGAGTACAAAATTATCTTAGAAACTGATGGAACTATCTTGACCGTTTAGGCACTTGGGGCTTTTCATTGAAATAGCACTCCACGACCTGGGGTTAGGAGCCCTATTTTGGAATTCCAATCACACTGACAGTGATTCTGATCAATCACTCAATTAATTACTCAAGAGCTCAGTTCCTTCATCTGAAATACAAGGCTAACAGAAATCTATCTCAGAAGTTTGTTGGGAAGATGCAGCTAAAATCATCTATGTGCAATGCTTTACACACAGTATATTTTTCAGTTTTGCCTCATCTTCATACTCTTAGATCAATAAAGCATTGAACATTTTCTCAGATACATTCTGTATTTATAATAGAAGTGTGTGTGGGGGGGAATGAAGGATAGTTTTTACTGCATAATGATGTTAATCTGTCCCTAAGAGTTCTGAAGAACACTGTCACCATATATGTGGAAAAACCAGTTTAACCATGAAATTTAAATTATATAGTTGAAAATATGAAAATAGGAGAGCCCCCACCTACCACTGACTTGTTTAAATTTTCATTGTATTCCATTTGAGTCAGTATAATCTTTATTTCAAAATAGCATTTTTATTATATAAAAATGTAAAAATCCAGCAAAACCAGAAATTCCGAATATATTTTCCTGGGCTTTCACATTTGTTGATTTTTATTTGCAAACTCTTTTCCAACACAATTTACAACCTCATACCCATCTGCAGGCCGATTATACAAGTACTAAGTGGCAGAAAGGTCTAGAATAAATACATCAAAAAGAGGCAAAGCTGTGAAACTAAGTTGCATGCAACAGGTCTATGAGGATGGGGAGACGTGTTGGGGAAATAAAACAAAGTAATTGGAAGGTTTTAGCTAAAGTTCTTTCAATCATCTTTGTCTTTAGCTCCATGTTTAAGGATGCGTGTGAACTCAATGTAATTGAAATTCCCCTTTTTGTCAATAGGTGCCTCTCTGTACAGCTCATCCACTTCCTCGTCTGTAAACCGATCTCCCATTGTTGTCAGCAGCTCTCTCAGGTAGTCTTCCTGAATGGTGCCTGGAAGACACACAAAGACAGGAGTCATGAATGCTTCCTGGTACTTTAATAGTTAATTTCTACACTAGGTCAATCTTTTAAAAACAAAAATTTATTTACTTATTTTTAGAAAAAAAGTAAAAGAGGGAGAGAAGGAGAGAACCATCGATCTCTCCCTGATTGGCTGCCTGTCACAAGCCCCCAACTGGGGACCTGGTCTGCAACCCAGGCATGTGCCCTGACCAGAAATCAAACCAGTGACCTTTCAGTTTGAAGGCCCGTACTTAATCCACTGAGCAATACCAGCCAGGGCAACACTAGGTCAATTTTACAAAATATTTCAGAACATCCAAATTTACACGAACAAAATAAGTTAGCAAACTAAGGCAACATGTAACTATGTCATTATGTTTTCCTGTTACTTAAGAGTTCTTTACAATATTAGATCATTTTAAAAGCTCTTTTAAAAGAGTATTACCTGATAGAGTTAGCAGAGTATCTGCTTATAAAATTTATTTCAAGCAAGTGTTTCTAGGAGAAAAAAAATCCTGTATTTCAGAAGTAAAGAGGAAAAAAAAGGCAACTACCCAGAAAAGTGACCAAGTGTGCATGAAGAATGATGCAGCTTTGACAGACAGAAATGGGGAAACAGAAACAGGATGCAAGGAAATATCTGAGGAGGTGATGAAGGTGGCTGAGTTAATGTCAGGTTAATGTAGAAGACTAAAATAAGAGAAGTAACAGAAGTGAATAGTTAGGCTTTACCCACTTTAAAATGAGAACAGAAAAAACCCGTAACATTTTAATTGCTCACATTTGTAACTACAGTCATGTGATGAGAAATGCACTGACAGATTTTGTTGTGCAAACATCAAAGTGTACTTACACAGACCTAGATGGTATAGCCTACTACACACCAAGCTATAGGTCTAGCCTGTTGCTCCAGGCTACAAACCTGTACAAAACAACATGAGATTAAATCAAGCACAAGAAAAACCGATGCAATGAAGAGATGCAGTAAACGTACATATATGGACAATGCTGGTATAACACAAAGCATGTTTTACAGAAAACTTTTTTTATAAGTAGAAAGAGTACACTCTAGAATAACAATAAATAGTATAGTAAGTACATAAACTAATAACAGTCATTCATTATCTTTATTCTGCACTGTACATAATTGTGTGCACTCTACTGTTATATGATTGGTAGTGCAGGTTTGTTTACACCAGCATCACCACAAACACGTGTGTAACACATGTGCTACGATGTGACGGCTGTAACGTCACTAGGGTGACAGGAATTTTTCAGCTTTGTTATAATCCTGTGGGAACCATTACATACAAACCACTATAAACCATTATACATGCATCTGTCCCTTATTGAAAGAGAGTTATGCGGCACATGGCTACACTTTCCTGTGCAATTTACAGTCTCTTGAAGAAGTAGCTTTCATGGTTTAAGAAATACTATTTAACAGCTCTGGCTGGTGTAGCTCAGTGGATTGAGTGTGGGCCTGTGAACCAAAGGATCGCGGTTCGATTCCCAGTCAGGGCACATGCCTAGGTTGCAGGCCAGTTCCCAGCAGGGGACTCACGAGACGCAACCATACATTGATATTTCTCTTCCTCTCTTCTTTCCTTCCCCTCTAAAGATAAATAAAAAATCTTAAAAAAAAAAAAAAAGAAAGAAAGAAATACTATTTAACAGACAATTCTCCCTTCAGCTTTCAGGAAGCTCAGGTCCAAATTCAAAGATTAACACCACAAACCACGTAGCTTTATGATCTACATTAACTGTTAACTGTGTCCTAGCCATTCTCAGTTACATGGTCCCACTGTAAATGATAGTTTCCCTTTATTCATTTCTTAAAATGTATATACTTTACTCATTTTTTCATTTCCTAAAAAGTGTTTCATATACTGCAATAAGGACACAAAGAGCACCCACCAGTGGCTTCTTCATCAAAGCAAGCAAAAGCATTTCTGATGACGTCCTCTGGATCCGTGCCATTTAACTTCTCGCCAAACATCGTGAGGAACATGGTGAAATTTATGGGCCCTGGGGCCTCGTTCATCATGGCGTCAAGGTATGCATCTGTTGGATTCTTCCCTATAACGAGTCCACACTTTAACATTTAAGGACAAAGAACTAATTTCAACAAATAATCGTTTTGTTAATGTTATGCTCCCCAATGTATTTTTAAAAGGTACATCATACTCACATGAAACTAATTTTTTAATTAACTGCATTAAGAACATTTTTAAAAGACAATTTTTGACATCATAAAAAGTCTCTGACACAGCATTATAAAAATGGGCTAAGGTTGAATATTGTCCATTTATTGATACTTCCTGTAACTTTTCCTTCACTATTTTAAACAAAACAGAACACACACCTGAAACTCTGGTCTGGGCAATGCCATTATTTTAAATGTTGATAACATTAAAGGTCCATCAGGGCATTTCAATATCAGTTACTTAAAAAAATCTAAATATTCATATTTCCAACTGTAGTACAGTTACCATGAATATCATACTCACATGAAGCTAATGATGCTTCAAAAATTTTATTTATAAGCTGATCATTTGAGCTAAAACTATTAGGAATTGGAAGGCCATTTTGAGGTTGCCAGGCATATCACCAAATGCTGTTCAGGCATGTCACTAAAACTGTAGTCTTGTTCAGTACTATTCATAATGGAAATCTTAATCTCAGTTCCAACTGAGAGTACTTCTCCCTCTTCTAGTCCAGTGGTGAGGGAACTGCTCTGACTCTTCCCTCAAGTTGGGAGAAAATCCCCTGGGATGGCCAGACACAGTAGGAGTGAAAATGGACTTCTCTCTGCCGAGGCATTTGTGAGGCCCCCATGGTACAGGAAAAGCAACAATGAACAAGGTGTCTGAAACAGTGAGTCCGAATCCCAGTTCTGCCACTGGCTGTGTGACCTGGGAGAAGGTGGCAGGTATCTGGGGTTATTTTTAATCTGTAAAATTGGTTGATTAAATTTGGTATCTGAAAGGTCCCTTCCAACATTAAGTTTGTACGATTCCCACGAAAGGAACATCCATAAATTAGATATTCATATCTAAGGAAGCACTTCAATATTATGCCCAACTAAGTGCTGATAGTCACATCTGGACTTGTGGTTCATATGCAAAGTTTTAATCCCAAGAATTTGGGTAAAATTTAAAAGCTAAGTTGGCATCTCTGTTACTGCCTTACAAATCTATGCAACATGCCCAACACAAAAATTAGCCCAAAATTAATCTCAAGATACACTGAGTAAGTAAAAGCAGCTAAAAAAATCTACTTTTCTATGTTCAGGTTTAACCCAATTCTCTTGCAGCAATTTTTTGGGGGAGGGAAAAACTATAATCCAAAGGTGCCAGAAGAACATGGGTACAAAAAAGACACTGGGACCTAAAATGAATTGGTTTAGGCTAAACATCTATGGACCCATTCAAGGCATCCAATATAATCTGCCGATTTAAAAGGTAAATACATATACATATATATAGGCTTTTACATGTAAAAGGTATATACATTTACATATAAAAGGCAAACTGTGCTGATCTTAAAAGACAGTTTCCCAAAATAGAAGGCCCTAAAGTCACCCTCTGACTCTACCATCGTAAATTAATTGAGCATCTACTATGATCATGGTACAGGCTTGTAGTTAATCTTTGTAATAGTTAACTAAAGTCCCTCAATTTTCCTCAGTGGGCTTCTTCAATAATGACCTGTGAATACACTCAGTTGCTATGCTGAGGGGAAAACATTGGGATCCAACCTATCTGCAGGTCAACAAATTAGGTAAGTATCTTGATTCTACTGTCACTCTGAATAAAGGAAATGTCCCAAAATGTTAACAACTAGTGAACCTAGGTAAAGGATGTTCAACTTTTTGTAGGTTTAAAAATTTTCAAAATAGTGTTAAGAGAAAAAAATAAAAATAAGACATAGGAACAAATTGTGTTGTGGTTACTAAAGGGAAAAAAATAACTTCTTTCTCTTTACCCTCTGCCTAAGAGTCAAGCACAAAAACACCCAGAGTGTACAGCCTAACTGGTGGCCATCCCTGACCCACACCCCTTTCAGTGCCCGGTCACTCTTGTCTATCAAGAACTAGGCTGGCCATTCATTTCTCCGTAGCCATATAATTAGTGCTGACTCAGTGCAGAACACAGAGGACCTTCTATGCCTTCCTTCTTTTTAAGATCAAACAAACAATAAAAAAAATTTTACAACAAATAATAACACCCATAATAACCAAAATAACAAAGGGCAGCTTATGCTTGCTTTAAATCTTTTATTTTTACATTTCTTTTTCTTTTGTTATAACAAAGAATTATAAGTAAAATTGTGAAAAGTCCGCTTTCCTGTGTTCCTTTTCAGTAGCACTGCCCTTCCTCCCAAGACAATTATTCATCATTATCACTTCCTACCTATAACCTAGTCTCAACCTTTATTACTGACTATGCTATACTATTAGTTATACATTCTACTTTCAACTCTGATATTTTGTCGCCTAGCCATCCCCTAGCAGACCTATCATATTTGGCTGAGAGGAACTAAAGCTTGCTGTACCTGCCAGGTCCCCACCCCTATAGGTTTATCCTCTTTATGACTGGCCAAACCTCAACACGGCACCTTCCACACAGATATCTCTCAACAGGATTTGGAAAAAAAAACAGAAATATCTGAATATCACACAGAAAATAATCCATAAATGCTAAATTACTCTTTTTTGGGAAACGGGCATACTGAGAATATAAAAGTCTACCTAGAGAAGCAAGCATATCATGCAAATCTTCCTTGTCAATGAAACCATCTCTGTTCTGATCAATCATGTTGAAGGCCTCTTTAAACTCCTGGATCTGTGATTGATCAAACATGGCGAACACATTGGACGTTGCGCGCTGGGGGCGCTTCTTGGTGGTCTTGGTCTTTGCCTTTTTGCTTGACATGGTGGCTGTTTAATTCTAGAGCTAAAAGAAAGCAAGCAAAAAAGAATGCATAAAACATAAAGTAAAAATGAAATCATAGTATCTAGTTAGTGAAGTAAAAATATCTTAATGTAGAATTACTCATTCAATAGGAATAAATATATATTTAAACTATTCCCAATGGCTAGGGAAAAAAAAGCAGTTTTGAAAAAAATTAAGAAACAAATTACTGATGTACCTTTCCCTAAAACCATTAAACTCATGTTTATTAAGTGGGAATTCATTTTAAAATATATAACATTACTCGGCATTTACTGAGTGCTTCCTAAATGCAAAGCACTGTTACGAAGGCATGAGTCTCTCTTAAAAGGAGAGGTTCTAAAGTGGGTATCTGACTTCTGTAAGGACAGCCTCATGCAATGCTCACGACAATCCCATGCAGTAGGATCATCTCCATTTTATTACCAATGTTGCATAAACTCTCTGAGCCTCAGTTTTTTCAAAACAGTCTGTAAATCAGGGAAGCTCACTCGATCATGATTTACAGCAAAAGACATCTACTTCGATGCAAGTCAAAATTAAATGAGATAACATAGGCAAAGTGACTAGTACAGTCACTGCACGGTACATGCTAAAAAGTCTCGTATCTTAAAAAAACCATAAAAACCTATTCTTTTTGGAAACATTTCGCATTTTTATTAATAAAACTAATAAAAACAGTAACAACAGATTACAGAGACACATATTAATAACAAAACGGGAAGGAAATGAAATATTCCAGAGACATCTTAAAAAGTTTCAAAGGAATACACAATAGGCTAAAAATCTACAGCTAACCTGTGGTTACACAGCACATAATTATTTATTCCAGCATTTTGTTTACAAGTTCTTCCTTATATTTGCCTTTCTCTTTTCCAACTTGTCAAGATTTGGCTTTGCGTTCAAGACTTTTTCCCTGATCTCTGTCCAGTTTTAGTCTGGTGATAACCACCTTGCTGGGGTGAATGAATGGCCACAAGGACAGCGGTGCCATTAGCCTTCTCACGCTGCACCTGCTCCATGTAGGTAATGTATTTATTTATTTATTTACTTACTTTTTAAATTTTCTTTTTAGGTAATGTATTCCCCCCCACACACACATGCGAGGGGGGCACCGAAGTGGTGTTTGGAGTTTTTGTTTCAGTCTGAGTTCACAAAGAGATTGAACTTCATGGTGGCCATCTACCTGGTGCCAGAGGCCCAAAACCTACTCTTTAATCTTGTATCGCTTCTTCCCACCTTTTCATTTCCCATTTCCCTTGACAAAACTTTGAGACTATCAATTTTATTAATATTCAACTGTCTCCATTTTCTCATCTTCCCAATCACTCCCCAATTCTCTACAATATGGCTTTAATGGTAGCCTCTGGTACTCTACTGAAAGCCACCAATACATGTCAGATCATGAACACTTTTCATTCCATTTTTTAACTTGCAGTTTTATTTTTTATTGGGTTTTTTTTTAAAGATTTTATTTATTTATTTTTTAGAGAGAGAAGGAGAAAGCGAGGGAAAGAAACATCAATGTCTGGTTGCCTCTCACATGCCCTCTACTGGGGACCTGGCCTGCAACCCAGACATGTGCCCTGACTGGGAATTGAACTGGCAACATTTTGGTTCCTAGCCCATGCTCAATCCACTGAGCTACCCCAGCCAGGCCTTTATTTGTAGTTTTAAATAATATATACAACACGAAAATACTATCAGCTTTGTAATTACAAAGTCCTGAGTTTGAATCTTTCCCCCACCATTACTAGCTACCAGAGGACACCAGGATAATTTTTTGATTCAATGTCTTATTCAATCTTCACAACTTCTCTATAAGACAGGTACTAACTAGGTTAAAAAAAAAAATCAATGGACCCTGTGGAGTGAAGAATTCAATTTTGTCCAAAGAGGGGTCTGGCCTTTGTCCTTGGCTCCTTAGAAGAAATTTCTAAGCCCTTGGAATATCATGCCTGGTATTTGGGGTATTGGGTCACGTCAGATTTCAAACAATGTGATTTACTGTGGAGGTTTTGGGTTACATGTTATTAGTTGACCTCTAGAGGGGCATTGGACTGAGATGAGCTATGCAGCAGCCAGTATTACCTATGTAACAGAGTTCCAATAAAAACTATGGATATCAAGGATCAAATGAACTTCCCCGATTGGCGATACTCTATGCACCCTGTCTCACCTTGTTATCAGGAGTAGTCAACACTCCCAGGAGAGAGGACAACTGGAAGGTCTGCATTTACGACTCCTGGACTATGCACCATGCATGCCTCTTCCCTGGCTAATTTTAATCTGAATCGTTTTACTGTACTAAACCACAACCATGTGATAACAGCTTTCAGTGAGTTCTGTGAATCCTAGTAAATTATTGAACTTGAGGGTCATCCTGGAAACCCAAACTTGCCACTGGTGTCAGAAATGGGGATGGTCTTGGGGATTGTTTCCTAACTCTGCAACCGCATAGTTTGAAAGAAGATGACTAGCTCCAACAGTGGCTGAACAAGGGGATTTTAGACCTGGGACTCTAGAACTTCCGGTCTTGGACTTTTAATCTACATTGTTTTATTCTCATACTTCAATATAAAAAATACCCCACTGGGTATTTTGAAGCTTGGCTTAGCGGTATGGTTTTGAACACAGCAGATAATAGGCTCAATTTAATTTCTTTTTTTTTAAGTTTATTTTTTCCTCTGTACTTCATTTAGAAACAGTACACATTTATATAAGTATATGGTACCTATAAAAATCATACATGCGGACACATAAAGTGAAAAAAGTGAGGGAAAGTTGCAGCAAAACAATTTGAAGAGAATTTTGTGCCACCCCCCCCCCCCTTAAGCATCTACCATCCTTGGTCTCTGTACCTACTGAGAAAAGTATCTTGGCTTTCTCTACTTTCTCACTTCCCACTCACCTTCAACCCACCACAATCTGGCTTTTTCTTCTCCAAATACTTTCAAATCACCAAATCCAGTCTAAATCCCCTTGGACAATTCTGCTATATCTGACACCCTTTTATCCCTCTTTTCTTCAGAGCCCCATGACTCTAGGTTTTAGTGAACAGTCATGGTAGAAATGAACTGCCCTAAATGGAAAGAGAAAGCAAGGTTCCCAATCTTAAAGACCTTACACTTTAATGAGGAAGACTCCTAAACGTTATATTGAAAAGAACTATTTATGTAAAACGTTGTGTTTGACTTGGTAACACCCACATTCTCTCTCTCTCAGTTCTATCTCTATGACTGGTCCTCCTCCCTTTTCTTGTTAAGTCTTTATCTCCTCCACTCACTTAAATATTCCTGTTTCTCAGTATTCTAGCAGTCATGCCTTTACTTAGATGATCTCATTGACTCTCACTGTTCTGACCACACCTATGTCTCCTAGTTCTGTTTTCTCTATGCCTGACCTCTTCCTTGAGTTGGACTTAAATATCCAATTGCTTGTGAAGCGCCTCCATCTGAATATCCCAAGACACTCATAATCAGCATGTTGAAGACTGAATTATCTTCCCCCTCCTGAACTTTGTCATCCTTCTGTTTTCTCTCAGTGAATGGCACCTTCATTTACTCACTCACCAAACCAGAAACCCAGGAGTCATCCTGAGTCATCCCTACCCCTGATGAATCAAGCCCTACTTCTTAAGTATTTCTCAGGTTGACTCATCCTATTCATTCCTTGGCTGGACCCTCATCATCTCTTTGTGTACTTCTATGGCCAACTAACCAAAATCCTTGCTTCTTAGTTTCCCTCTAAACTACATTTTATATTCCAGCCAGAGTTGTCTAAAACATGAATATGACATTACCATTTCCCTCTTAAAAATCTTTCATCTCTACTGCTTCATAGGACACATGGTACACAAGGTATTCTTTGACTCCTCTAGAATGACCTTCCCAGCCTCATCTCTAGGCCTTCTCTGTTTTGTACGTTTCCTTCACCAACACCAAACTGTTTCTATGTGCCCAAAGCACCATGCAAGTTTTTAATCTTATATACCGTATTTCTGTTCTTGCTATTTTTCTAGTCCAAAATGCTTTAGGACTAGAGAAAAAAAATTAAATATCTACTTGACCTATGGCTCCTATCATTTATCGAGTGACTCATGTACTAAGCACATTTACATTCCTTAAATTTAACATGCCTGCTTTACAAATGAAGGAAGTAAGGATCAAAGATAATTAAATAACTTGCCCAAGATCACCCAGTGGCAGAGCTACGAGTTAAACCTCCTTTATTCAAGGTTATGTCTACCTATATATTTTCTTTGTATTAAATATTCTTCTAATATTCTGAGTTTACCACAATTAGAAAAAAAACTTTCAATACTACCAATATAACATGACACTGATTTCTGAGCAGCTACTTTCCTGTAAGCTCAAATCCTAGACAAACTGAGTTTTCAAATAAATTCAAACTCTATGGGGAAATCAATGTACAAAACACAACTGCACTGTGGAATGGTGAGAGAATAAAATAGAAATGATACTCCCTGAAACCGTGCAATGTAGCAGCCCTAGTTTGGATTTGATCAAATGGCAATATTTCCTTTCAGCCATGGTCTTGGCTTGACATAAGTAAAGGCTTGAAACCTTTACCTAGAGCTATTTAAATTAATGTTTAACCTAAAAAAAAATTGACCAAACCTCACCCTTAAACTATAGTTACAGAAAATATCCACATATAACATAGCACATAATGTAATGAATAACTCTCAACAGCAGGAAAACTCACTTCCTCTTCAAATTTTAATTTCTTTTTGTCAATTAAAAAAAATTTTTAAATTTATTTATTTTTAGAGAGAAGGGAGGAAGAAGGAGAGAGAGAGAGAAACATCAATGTGTGGTTGCCTCTCACATGGCCCCCACTGGGAACCTGGCCCGGAACCCAGGCATGTGCCCTGACTGGGAATGGAACCTGCGACTCCTCGGATCACAGCCTGTGCTCAATCCACTGAGCCACACCAGCCATGGCTATTTTTGGTAAATTTTTAATACAGAGTGAACTAA